CTGACAATCAGCACGGACAGAGGACAGAGGACAGAGCGGCAGGAAAAGGTGGGTGAAAACAGAGCGGGACAGCTGGAGATTCTTGGAGAGTTGGTTCATTCATTTGGAGGAAGGGACAGTGGACTGGAGGATCTGTGCTGTAGTTCTTCTTTAGGTGCAGTGACTTATAAAACCATGCACAATTATTTATATTTTTGAAAATCTGTTTGCATGGGTGGGTGCATCTCAAACACAAACAGCTCTGGGTTTTGTAGCCGTGTTTTGCGGTGCGTCCAGGTAAACAAGTAAACAACAATCTTCAGACGTTGGACCTTTCACTTAAGACTATTTATCAGACCGGGGTGTGAAGTAAAAAATATTACAGTGAAGTTAAAAAGTACGTAAGTGTGTGTGTGTGTGTGTGTGTTTTACGCGCATGTGGCCGTAAATGACACGGTGCGTAATGACAGTCCAGGAAAACAGATTAGATTAAGGATTATTTGACAACAGTTCCAGGTCATTTCTCTGGAGTCTCTGCTGGTGTCAGACCGTGGAGGCGGTGGTCGAGGCCGACAGGTCGGACCTCAGTGACTGGTCCACATGGGCTGATTTACTGGGTGTGATTTATGTGGCAGAAATATGAAAGAGGCTGCATTAAAATATAAAACAGTGACGCCCTGTACTGGGGGGCTTTGGGCTGAGAACGGGGATGTGTGTGTGTGTGTGTGTGTGTATCCAGCAGCAGCCACGCTGAAGGCTGGATGCCAACGGAATTAACAGCAGCAGCAGAAAAAAAAAACTTTTCCAGCCCTTAATTGAGAAAGAATACGTTTCATTCAGCGAGTCTTTAAACGGTGTGTGTGTGTGTGTGTGTGTGTGAGTGTGTGTGTGTGTGGGCGCGTCCTGCACGCATGGAGCGAACGCACCAGGGTCTGGCGCCTGTGCGCTGTCGGCTGCGCCGCTGCAGCACAGACCCGACGGTATTAGGTCGGTGTAGAGTTGTTATCAACTGATATAAATGTTTGTTAATCTGATTTAAATAACTTTGAAAGAACATCCTCTCAATATATTATTTTATAAAAACAGAATCTGATTTAAATAACTTTAAAAGAACATCCTCTCAATATATTATTTTACTGGACCAGAAACAGTTTGGAGTTTTCTCTTGACATTTCAGTCTTTTTTTTATAAATAATAGTTTTGTGTTAGAGAAGTGTTCCCAAAGACCAGGTCAGACATTTACTGATGTTTTATGTTAAAACATTAAGAAGAGGAGATTTACAACATTTACTTCATTTGAGAATGGAGATTTACAACATTTACTTCATTTGACAACACATAGCTCTGGTGGTTTATATTGAAGTTTATATCTTATACAAAATACAAAAGTACATGAATATTTCCTGTTAAGCCTTAAGGAATATTTAAAGTATTTAGTGTAACTTAATGTAGTTTGTTCTCTTCACTTTTATCTAGTGGACACTGCTCCTCAATCTAATTCTAATCAAATAAAACACACCAGGCCTGACAGATTATTGAAAAAAAATCCAACGTTTTAGAAAAACCTCCAGATTTGTGCCTTTTTTCCAGAGGCTTATAGATCAGGAGGCGATCAAACGTCACATAAAACCTAACGCTCTATCCAGTAAGTTTTCAAGTAAAAGCTCATAGAACATCTCTTCTGACCAGTATCTGGGTTCCTACTCAGCCCCTGGTGTATTCTTCACCCTGGCAAGTTGAGAGTGTTTTTCTAGTAGCGGTCCATTATCCTGAGACAGAATGAATCCTCGTGCATTGACAAACAACAGGCAGTTAACAGCTCTGCTCCTTATTCATGACGCAGGAGAGCCTGGACAATGTGAGGTCGACAGACGCTCTCTTAGAAACGTCTGACCGGACAACTGCCGGTGACGATGAAAACTGAGCAGAGTGACTCGTGTCTTCAACTGCACCTCAGTCCGAGGTTATAAATAGTTAAAAGTTTCTGATGGTGTTTCTGCATTTGTTTGCTTCCACAGGATCAGGGATTACGGGGATTGTGGACTTCTGAGATTTGAGCCAATGCCAGGGATCAGAGTGTGAGGCCCCCTCAGGCTTCCAACTTGTATTTGCACCTTTGAAACACAGAGACACGCGTCACATCTCAAAGATGGCGAAAGTGTGCATTTTTGGCATTCTCCTTCTCTGCTTGATGGACGGACTCTCAGCCAGAGCCTTGGACGACAGGAGGACCAAAGGTAAGAGACCGGTACTCCTCACACAGGACCATCACTGCTCTGGGGTGGGTCAACTGTTGCTCCAGAGAGGGTCTTATTTTCATGGCCTTGACCCCGAAGGAAGTCTGTGTGACAGAGCCAATGACAGACAGTCTGTAGTCATGGCCTGGACGCAGCGAAGGAGGGAGTAAAAAAAAAGCTTTCAGTGTTTTTGCTGCCGTAAACTGTGCTACCTGATCCATCTGAGGCCCTGAGGCTCGGAAGTGTAAATCTGCCTGGCTGCATGCCAGCTGTAGAGGAATAGGGGAGAGAGGGGGAGAGGGAGAGAGGGAGGGGGGGTGCGCAGAGGCTCTTTCATCGATGCTTTACCTAAAGAAGTCGACTGCCATAAATCAGCCATCCACTGTTTAACACACACAGAGAGAGAGCTAATGTAAATGGTCCTGAGATTTAACCACGGTTTTCCACCGTTCGTTATCGCAAAACTAAGCATTTATTTGAGATTGACAGGTAAAAAATTGAATCTCATAACATCTGGAAACCAAAGTACAACAACGTGGAGCCGTGTCCCCGAGGCACCGGGCTGAGACGTTGTCTCTCTTCTTCCTCGGTGGCCTTACTTTGTTCTGAAGACTAGCTGAGGCTTGCTGCACAGACGACAGCGTGGTGAAAACACCTCACAGGTTTATTTACAGGTCACATGAGTGAAGAGTCAAACCAGTTCTGATCAATCCAAAATCTGTTAGCTGTAAAACATGGGACAATCATCCCTGCTTTTAATTTTGGAAAGGTTAAACAATTCCCAAATACGGATTTGTAGAATGCTCGCTGTAATTTGGGATTTAAAACAATAGCAGTTGTCCCATAAGTCATTCTGGATCTGTATTTTTGTTTTTCTTAAATGAGCATGTTCAGTACAACAAGGCTTTGAAAAAAAAATCCTTTTTGTGTTCTTTGTCCCCGTGCCAATCTGATTAGGGCTGAGTGAACCTAAATTGCAGAGCTCTCTCCAAATATAATTATACATTAAACGTTACAAGCCACTAGCTGCTGCAGCAGCAGCTAAATATAAGAGTTTAACTTGACCAGTTTTTCTTTTTGTGCTCCATAAAGAACCCTGTTATCTGTGCTGTTCGCTCCCACATTACCAGAGACGATCAAAAATTACAGTGAAGGTTTTGTTTTTTGGGATTCCAGCCGCCGAATATCGTTATAAACATGAGCGCAAGGCAGAGAAAAACTGCCAAAGAAACGCAGTAGTAAATCTGGGTACAAATACAAATACAGTACTGCATCTGACCACATTTTCCACAATAAAAAGTTTTTTTTTTTTTGGAGTAGCTTAACTGTGATTGCTAAACTGAGGACCAGGCTTTGTTTTTGGTTTGTGATTTAAGTTTCTGTGCTACACGACAAAACTAAAACAATCCTAACCCCAGGCTTATCATTGACTCAGAGCGGCCTCACATTAGTATTCATGGTGACCCATTCCTAGGATTAAACATATGCACTGACCTGGTAGGATTTAAATCTGGTCCCTACGTATAATTATATGTAAGAAATTGATGTTTTTGCAAACTGTAATTAGAAGCTGAAAGATTTTCTTTATTGGTTTTAAAATTGCAGGTTTTTATCAGTAGTTTGGAATCATCTGTCGTAGAAAAGGATTTCATTTTCTAAACCCACAATATTTAAAAAAAAAAAGATGACAAAGTGTCATTTTTGTGACTTGTTTGTGACATTTTTCATTCGTCCTGGTGTCATTTCTGCAACAGCAGCACAATTGTTTTTGAAGAACATTCTAATGATCAGTGCTAAGCTAAACGCTAAAATTCAGACTTTGAGAGTCTCTTCATTGTCCTGACTGGTTTCCATAGCATCTCTGCTGCCAGCCTGGTCGACTGGGTGACTGATGAACCAGGCTCGCAGCAGTTGAGTGGTTTGTTTGAATTGTGTTTTGTTTCTTTGCCCCCTCGCCTCTGGGTGACAATTCACACACTGCTGCAAGTTCAACTGCAGGGCACTGCCGCTGTCACTGCAAGTTCATTAGCCTGGCTGTTGGGTGGGTCGTAGTATTAAAGTCCTGCTTAAAAAAGTTTAAAAAAATATGCAAACTGTTATTAGGGAACGGTGAAGAAAAGGTTGTTGGTTTTCCTCAAAATAACTTGCACAAACTTGGAAGAAATAGTTGCCCAACTGTAGGCACATGTGTGTGTGTCCATCTATGTCATTTAGTGTTAATGATTTACAGAGTTCATGCTGCACTGGTGGAAAAATATGCTTGGATATCATATTTGGAATACGTTGAACTCCCATTATAAAAGGCCATAAAGACTGGTTTATTGTAACGTTGTCGTGTTTTGGCTCATTTGACTTAACGCCGTATTTTATTTTTTATCTAAATGACTTGTTAATGGTTATCCCCCCCCCCCCCCCCCCGACATTACTACCTCAACACTTACCCCGGGCAGAAAGCAGCACTTATTCCAGCAAGAGAGAACAGATTGTCTTTTCACTGAGCACTCGCAGGAAGCAATCACACAGAAAATTGCCCTGGAAAATTGTCCATTCTTAGTGACTGAGCGTTGGGTTGGACATATGCTCTGACCAGTGAATGGGCGAGCGACCCGGTGAATGGATGGCTCTGTGGCCGATGGTGTCGTGACACCGGTCGGGTTATCGCGACTTTCTATCACCGGTTCCTGTCTGTATTAAATGACAGCAGTTGTTTAGGAACATGGTGTTCTGTCACTGAGGAAAACTGAGACTGGAGCATATGTTCTAACAGTTTTTTTTATGTTTAACTTTTAGATCTCTCTCTATATAAATTGAATATAAAAAACACTTAAGTTTGCTGTTCATTTTAAAGAAGAGCAGAGAGAGCACGTTTGTTTGTTGTCCCTGTTCCTTATCCTTGAATTCCTCTTTTGTGTTCTCCAGGTCATCGAGTCTCCAGGCCCCTTATTGTTCCAGGTTCCCCTGAAAACACCACAGCGGTGGTGGGTGGTCAGGCAACGCTGCTGTGTAAAGTCCACAGGCCAGCATCCACCAAGGTGCAGTGGCTGAAGACAGAGAGAGTTTCTTCAGCAGAGAGCAAGGAGGAACCGTCTCACCTCAGGGCGCTGACGGTGAGAATCTGATTTGCTCACATTAAAAGTTCTCTACCTTGTTATTATCCTATTAGATGACGCTAAACCCTTAACCGCCTTCCAGGTCCTGCAGAGCAATGGCTCTAAAGTTCACACGCTGCATCTGTCAAACATCACCATGGAGGATGCAGGAGAATATATCTGCATGGCTGAGAGCATCCATGGAGGGCAGACCGTGCAGGCGATGCAGTCAGCGTGGCTGGACGTCCTGCCTGGTGAGCCTAAATGATATCAGCTCACAGTGAGGTCCACGTGGGCTACATGTGTACAGCTGTGATGGTTTTGAAGCTTTTCTGACATTAGCTTTTCTATTCCACAGAAACCATCATTTCAAGCACAGTAGACCTGACTGCTGCTCAAACCTCCCCAGGTAAAAAAACAGTTTTAATAATGTGAGGTGTGTATTATGACGCAGAAACAAAACAGTTCTGCAATAAAATCCTTTCCACGAGGAAATTAATTGTATGACCAGAGGAAGGTTTTAAATTCCATTCCTATTGGACAGTTGAGTGGGACTAGAACTGATGTGACACCCAACATCAGAGCTGGTGTTAATATTGTCCAGCTTCATTTCTTTAAAGTAACAGCAACAACAAAAAGCTCTCCGATCCACCTGTTTGACTTCAAACACAACCATCCCCCTTCTCCAGGCTCCAGTGAACTCCCCTCTCCTCCCCTCAACCTCTTAGATCCCCAGCGAACCTTCACCGCCCCTCAGATTTACTCTCCGTCCACTGTCAGGTTGCAACATGTTCATTAGCTTCAGTTTCTCTGGCTCTGTGTTTCTTTTCTTCTTTTTCTTGAGTCACTTTGCAGTGTTTGGTAGATCGCTCTCCTAATAATCCACGCAGGGACAAAAAAGATGAAGAGGAGGGGTGTGTGGAGGAGGGTTGGGTCAGTAAGGCCTTCAGATCTCCATGGTAATTTCATTGTGTGAGCTTGTGGGACGGAAGATAATGGAGCTGAGGAGATGGAGGTCATAGTTGAGAGGGCTGAGAGAGGAGAGGAAGAATGGAGTCGAGCGAGGGACTTTCATGCAAAAACAAAATGATATCAAATAAATGTATAAAAGTACAAGTATAAAAAAAGATTAAATTAATAAACGCTGCACAATGGGTTTTTTTGGACAGATGTTCTCGAGGACCTGAATGAGGACACCACGGAGCATCTTCTTTTAGAACCAGGCAATGTTCTGAAACTGCGCTGTGACACGAACACTCGGCCTGGAATGGCTGTCAACTGGTACAAAGAGGGAGCCCGGGTTCTGCCCACACCCAGGATCCAGGTCCGTGGGATCATCATGGAGATAACGGACATAACATACGAGGATTCAGGGGTTTATGTTTGCGTTCTCCGTGGGAGCAAAGAACCCGTGAGGAACTTCACCATCACTGTGTTGGGTAAGAACCTGAATTCTGTTGAACAGAAAAAACACTATGTGCCAAAATATGTTAGGCGGACTAGAGACAACGCTCAGTGGTTTAATTAACCCTCCATCTTTACATTCAGACACGTTAGGGTCCGGAGATGATGATGAAGACAATGGTTTGGATGATTCTTCAGCAGAAATAGAAAACGACCAGGTTTACATCAGCCGAGGTGTGTGGCTCTCTTTACTTTTTAAATATATATATTTTTTATATTAAAAACCATTTCAGGGTCTTTAACGAACCCATGGTCGTCCATGCAGGTCCGTACTGGACTCACACGCAGCGTATGGAGAAGAAGCTGTACGCTGTTCCTGCAGGCAACACCGTGAAGTTCCGGTGTCCAGCCATGGGCAGCCCCATGCCAAGCATTAGGTGGTTCAAAAATGGACGTGAATTCAGAGGAGAGCACCGCATCGGAGGCATTAAGGTCAGCAGGATGTGATGACCAACGGTGTTTTTCTCGACTAACTCTGTAACTCTGGACTTTAATAACCCCATATTTCTGGTCGTCCTTCAGCTGAGGCATCAACACTGGAGTCTGGTGATGGAGAGCGTTGTTCCGTCAGACAGAGGAAACTACACCTGCGTGGTGGAAAACAAATATGGAGCCATCTCTCACAGCTACGTCCTGGATGTCCTGGGTAAGGCATCATGTTGTAAAAAACACGGTCTCCTCATAACGACTTGTGTTGATATTTTGGGATAAATGAAAACAAAATGCAAGAAATAATACTACATTCCAGTTTTCTCAAAGGTTTTCCGAAATAATCAATGAGATGGAACTGTTTCCATGTGTTTAGTCACTGGCCGAAAATTAATACCAGTAGTTTGGTCCACACGGTTGTCCAAATCCTGCCACCAAACCAAACTGCACCACTGGGGTAAAAAGCTGTGGGATTCAGCTTTTACATAGAGTCACTAGTGACTGTGTTTACAGAAGTCAAATCAGCACCTTATGGAGAAAGAATCAGGTCTTAGCTGCAGCTCATAACCAATGGCTTCAGCAGCAGCAGATGACAGGGTGCCTGGCAGTCACCGTGGCCAGTAGGATTTGGACAACGTCTGGCGTCAACATCACTTTTCTACTCCACCGCTCAAAGGAGATCAAGGAGTACTGCGGTCTGTTTGTTCATTTGTTCGCCGTCTGTCCACCACGGGGTCATTTTCTGTCCTGGATGATGGGGGGCGGGGGAGAGAACTAACGAAGCAGCTAACGAGATCAGAGAGCGAGAGTAACTGCAGATCAAAGGGGCCCCTGCTCCGAGCCGACAAAGAGCCACGCTAATGGAACCAATTTTCATCTGACAATGACATTTCTGCTCTTTTGCCAGCACGCAAACACAGAGACAACTGCTAGACATTTTTAGAATTTTGTTTACATGGCTGTCAATTAAACGTCTTAGCCACAGATGGTATGATTCCAGTTCCCCTCCACGTTTCTGCTGCCTACCAGACTCCTACTGTGAGTTTTGTTTCTGGGGAAACTAAAGCCAGGCAGCAGATCAGGGTTCTATTTCCACATTTATGAATCAAACTCAGTCGTTGCCTTTAAGAGAATTCCTCTGTTTTCTGACGTCTTCTTCACAATGTCTCACTTGCAGAGCGCTCCCCTCACAGACCCATCCTCCAGGCCGGTCTACCGGCCAACACCACAGCAGTGGTGGGTAGTGATGTCCAGTTCCACTGTAAGGTCTACAGCGACGCTCAGCCTCACATTCAGTGGCTCAAACATATTGAGAGAAACGGCAGCCGCTACGGCCCTGATGGGACGCCGTACGTCCAGGTCCTTAAGGTGAGTGACATCAAGAGTTATCATGGACTGAGGACCCAACCTGAATCCCAGTTATAACCCTTGTCTGCTAAGTTAATTTAACGTCTTAACCACGTACACTAACACTGCACTTTCTGTGTATTCGTTGTATAGACTGGCAGCCTGAACATGTCAGAAGTGGAGGTGCTATACTTGTCCAAAGTGACCATGGAAGATGCAGGAGAGTACACCTGTCTGGCTGGAAACTCAATAGGTTACGCCTACCAGTCTGCCTGGCTGACCGTCCTCTCTGGTAAAAATGTCACAACTACTGAAGCTCATGTAGCTCAGATGCTTCTTTACCAAGGTTAAAAATCACAACATGACTGAAGGCTAATTTAGTTACTCCATACACAGAGGAGGAAGCAGCAGATGCTATGGACACCATGGAGACCAAGTACACCGACATCATCATCTACGCCTGTGGATTCCTAGCTCTGATCATGGCCATCATCATCGTGGTGTTGTGTCGAATGCAGGTCCAACCCAGAGGGGAGCCGTTCGATGCCCTCCCAGTTCAGAAACTGTCCAAGTTCCCACTGCGTAGACAGGTACTGCACTGGTACTTGAGGAACACATTAACAGCCAAATGACCACTACTTGCATGAGCACTTAACAAAATGTCTTGCATCTCCCCACGCAGTACTCAGTCGACTCCAACTCATCGGGGAAATCGAGTGCATCTCTAATGAGAGTAGCTCGCCTTTCATCCAGCTGCTCTCCCATGTTGGCTGGAGTCATGGAGTTTGAGCTGCCCTACGACCCCGACTGGGAGTTCCCCAGAGAGAAGTAAGTCTACCTAGAATGATGATAATCTGATATTAAAAGGGGGGGGGGGTTTAAAAGTTTTGTTGTCTACAAAAAGAGACTTCAACTTTAGTTTGGTGGCAAGGAGCCAAGCTAAATTAAACACAGCAGCTCCCACATCATCTGAAGTCCTAAAAAGAAACACGTCCACAGCCTATTTTTGGCTCCTCTCAACCCATGTTTCGAGAAACCATAACCTAAAATTATGGATTTGTATAGTTTACATTTGGACTTACTTATTTTCACTGACTCTTCTTAACTTTTCTTTCTTTTTTTCTACAGTCTAACTTTGGGTAAACCTCTGGGAGAAGGCTGCTTCGGTCAGGTGGTCAGGGCTGAGGCCTACGGGATCAACAAGGACGGTCTAGACCAGGCCACCACTGTAGCGGTTAAGATGCTGAAAGGTAGGTCGAGAAATAGTCAATGGATGAGGTCACGTCTGGTGTCAGTCAGGAGAAGACTCACTGTTCTAAATGACGAGCATGTTTTCTCCCTCAGACGACGCAACAGACAAAGATTTGGCCGATCTCATTTCGGAGATGGAGTTGATGAAGGTGATGGACAAACACAAGAACATCATCAATCTGCTGGGAGTCTGCACACAGGATGGTAAGATGTCCAGATGATCGATCTATCTTTTTATCTTTCTCCTCCCTCCCCCACTACCATCTTAGTTTCCTGACCTGATCTTTTCATCTTACCTTAAATTTAAATATAAATAGTTTTCTGTCTGTGGGCTGGTGGGCTCCATCAAACATGCCACACACACACCCGCTTTTTCTGTATCTTTCAGAGAAACTACGTCATTGTTGCAAATCACCAGCCTAATTCAGTCTGTGTTTCAGCCTTGGTGGTCCCAGTTTACGGAGCTCATTTAACAATACAAATTGTTCCACCTCAGGGCCTCTGTATGTGCTGGTGGAGTACGCCTCCAAAGGCAGTCTGAGGGAATACCTGAGGGCGCGGCGACCTCCAGGCATGGACTACACCTTTGATGTGACCAAGGTGCCTGAGGAGCAGCTCACCTTCAAAGACCTGCTGTCCTGTGCCTACCAGGTGGCCAGAGGGATGGAGTACCTGGCCTCTAAAAGGGTATGTTCATGTTTAAGGCTGATGGACGCTCACCACTCACCACACAACGGACAAAAACAAACCAAAGTATCATGGCTCTCACAGAGACAGTAAATATAATTGTGAACATTTGCTGGAGTCCAGATGGTGAATTAATGGTTTTGTGTGCTCTTAAGTTACAAGCTTCAAACCCAAGGGTATTTTTTATGTTTTGGATCTCATTACACTTTAATGCAGCCTTGTTTCTGAGCAGGAAATGAAGCCACAATGAAAGAGGGATTAAAAAAAAATGCTAAAAGTTCTTTTGGATTTCTCAATAGCTGTAATATCATCGCTCTTAGTGGGGAATTGCGGTTACTATTGTGGTCTTTTATGTAATCTATTGTTTTTGAATTAGAGCACTTGGCCTTCACATAAATGACTTTGAGTTTGACATTTGTGGAGAACGGCTCAAGTTCTTTCGTCATTCTCTCTCCCGTGTCATTCTCTAGTCCGCCCTGTCTTTCTTTTCTCTCCATTGCCGCCCCCTTTCATTTTCCCAGTGTGCACTGTGACTGTGTGCTCTTTATCAACATGGCCCTTTGTCTGCCAGCCGGTGTCTCAGACATTCATTCCTAAACAGAAAGCAGGAACGGCAACAGCTTCGGTCCTGTTTACTCTCCTCCATCCATCTGTCTGTCCCTCCACTGCCAGCCTTTGTCCTTTTAGCGCAGCCATAAATCTGTTAGCAAACAGGCAGCAGAGCCGTCAGTTGGGTGTAGGCATCAGGTTTCTGGCTCGACAGCCTCCTAAGAATGCAGGAGCTCCAAACTAACCCTCTATTATGGGGAGACCCGCAAACCGAGGCTGGTTCATTTCGCACCTCCCCACAAATCCCACATCTATTTCGAATGAAAACCAAAATAAACTTAATGACATCCATTCAATGTGGGCAAACAGTGTCTTTCTTTTTCTTCCCCCAAATGGTTGTTTTTTCTCGAAACCCTGGGGTTTTCTATATAAAGACATTTTAATTCAGTTGCATTCACTAAACTCAGACACAGTGTGTGTGTTGACTCAAAACTCCTCTGACTCCGCTGCGTTTTTAACCCTCCCTACATTACTGTCTTACATAGCCTCTAAAAACAAGAACGCCCTGGAGCAGCCGGCATACAAAAAAAAAACAAACAAAAAAAAAACCTGTTGATCTAATTTTCTTAATTAAAATCCCTGAGCCCATCAACTAAGACCATTTAAATGTTATGCTAATCTGCTAATCTGGAGACCCAGCAGTCGGCCTGCAGCTCATTTTAATGTTTTGTCATTTTTTAATTCTTCCCCTTCTCTGCGGTCTCCACAGTGCATCCACAGAGATTTGGCAGCGAGGAACGTCCTGGTGACTGAGGACAACGTGATGAAGATCGCCGACTTTGGCCTGGCCAGAGGAGTCCACCAGATTGACTACTACAAGAAAACCACCAATGTAAGAGACTCCTCCACACACACAAAAAAGCACACTTTCAGGAAATCACTTTTTCTGCCTTGGTGACATTCCAGTCGGGGCTCGTGTTTTCCAGTTGTAAATGTGTGGAGTAAGAGCAGCAGCCAAATTACCAGTTTTACTTAACTTTTTCCACAGTTGCAATGTTGTCACATTCAAGCATAACTCAGTGGTTGAGACGCCGCCCTCAAAAAAGATTGCAAGCATAACTCAAGTCAAGAGTAGTTAGGGTGATTGCCTTAAATCTTGATCTCGTCAAAGACCAGATATGAACGTGTAATGTTTTTTTTTAAAAATAATTTACTATAAATGATCCATTTTGATTGTTATACCTCTGTTAATACCAGTGGAATTCCTCTTTCTTTGCTCCTTTCTACAACTTTAATACAGGCCTGATGTTTCCGTCTGATTGGCAGCAGACGTAATGGGACTTAATTAGTAAAAGCGGAGACTAGTCCAGTAGAGAGGGATGACTGGGAGGGTAGAGCAGGACATGGAGTCAGAATTTGGCTTTAAAATATGTTTACTGTGAGTCAAAAATAATAATAATAAAAAATGGGCGTCTAATGTTTCCGTGTCCACTCTGCAGGGTCGTCTGCCAGTGAAGTGGATGGCACCTGAGGCCCTGTTTGACAGAGTCTACACACACCAGAGTGACGTGTAAGTAACGATCTCCACAACAACGACAACAACGGCAGCAAAAACACGCACATTTGTGGCAAAAGTGGTCAACGTCTGTCTGTCCCATGCCTCAGGTGGTCATTTGGCGTCCTGATGTGGGAAATCTTCACGTTGGGCGGCTCGCCGTACCCTGGCATCCCAGTGGAAGAGCTGTTCAAACTGCTGAAAGAAGGCCATCGAATGGACAAACCCTCCAACTGCACACACGAACTGTAAGCAGGAGGTTCTTCTCTTGTACTTTCCACTGTGAGCTGAGACACCTACGCCCATCGACATGGGCCAAACTGTCTAGTGTGACTTTGAAAAATATGTTTACCCAGATGAAAATGAATGTCCCAGTCTGTGCCCTGCTGAGCTTTTTGTTCCCCTGTGGGAAGTGTTGAAGGCAGGGATGACTTTTTTTAACATTTTAGGGACACAGTGTCTAAAAACGACTTTTTTCCCCCTAGAATTACAAACATTTACACTTCTTTTGCTAATTGGAGATTCTCAAATGTTGTCATTTGGCTAATTATTCGTATCGGTTTCCTCTAGCTACATGATGATGCGTGAGTGCTGGCATGCCGTTCCCACCCAGAGGCCGACCTTCAAACAGCTGGTGGAGGAGCTGGATAAGGGTCTTCTGTCCATTTCTGACGAGGTGAGCGTCAAACACACAAACAAAAACCTATACAAAACATACACTCCCATTCCTTTCTTCCTTCCTCTCACTTTCACAATCTGCTGTCCAGATGTTTGAAAAACAGACCGACAAACACAGAGTTAAAGAGTGCTTAGCAGTACTGTCTAAATGTTGTGCTTTAAGTTATTATATAATCTAAAAGGAAAATCCTCAATCTTCACGTGATAATTTGTAAAGTATTGAGTCTTAAGTAGTTTGTCTGGGCCTGCGTCATATAAGCAAATTGTTCGTTTTTGTAAAAGTTTACTAAGTCATTAGTCTTCACACTCATTAACCTCCTCTATTTTGCAGCTTTACTAAGTCATTAGGCTTCACACTCATTAACCTCCTCTATTTTCTTTTTCCCTGGCAGTACTTAGACCTGTCGACGCCCTTCGAACAGTATTCTCCGTCGTGCGAGGACACATCAAGCTCCTGCTCTTCTGATAACGACTCAGTTTTCACCCATGACGCTTTGTCCACCGACCCGTGTCTCCTGGCCTACCAGGACGTCCACTCCCAGATGGTTATGAAGACGGCACTCCGATAGACTCCGAACGCACCACGCACAGGTTCACACGAGCATTTCAAAGATTTGAGCTTTCATGGCACCAGGCAAAAGCCCTTAAAAGATAGAAGTGGGCATCTGTTACACACACACACACAGACACACACACACACAACACCACACACAGACACATGCACATGGAGCACTGAGGCCGGTGGGCTTCATCATTTGATGAAGTTTCACAAAAGTTTGAGAAACCTCCCAATTTTGCGCAGGAGACGGACAGAGGAGAAGAGGACGAAGGAAACATGGTACTTTGGACTATCGGCTCTGGCACTGTGTCCAAGAACAGCTGTAACGTTTGAAAACTGCGGCACTAAACTCAACAGAAGAGACTCTGACACTCGAAACAGCTCCGAATGCTCACCACAGGGAGAGGAAGGACTATGATCTCCTTATATAAACTCTACGTAAAGACATTTTAACAAAAAGATTTATTTTGATATGATAAAAAAAGAAGATACGGATTGTTAAATATAAATCTCTCTATATAAGATTATTTTACTTTTGTGTTGCTTATTTAAAGAAGAAAAAAAACAGTCTTAAAATCTCAGGATCTTTCGTGCTAAGAAGTTGCTGTAGCATCAGCAAAGTGCCTGAAGTTATAATTTCCTGTGAAGATATTAGAATATTAAAATATATTATGTACATATCAGCCACAGAAAGACAGTTGCCTTTTATAAATTATTCTGAATGACACAACATGAAGGTTAATGGAGGCTAAAAAGGAGAGAGGAAAGGAGGAAATGCTATCCTGAAGTGCCAAATCTGCCACAGCTGCCACGCTGTCTTCAAGTCTGGGTCTCATTTCAATATAACCTTAACGTTTTGGCAGCTTTTCTCAGCATTGTCTAAAACAAAGTATTATTACACAACAATCGCTAATATTCCGTTGACAACTTAAGCCTTAAATGTTTGTGGTGAGGAGAAAACATGAATCAAACTTTAATGGACGGCTTTATTGTTTTGGAATCAAACAGTTGCTGCTGCAGTTTGTGGCTGAATTCCAGCGAGAGCTCCACAATAGTTGTTGTTGTTGTTGGACCATAACCACAAATTTACTAAATGTTTGGGATGTAAAATATAAGAAGCAGCAATGTGGTCCGACCAGGTCTCCAGACCCCGGAGGTCACGAGACAGGCTCAGTTACAAGTCGAGAACCACCGCGTCAAGTTCAATCTACCGCTGTGTAACTCAGTCTGTGGCTGCGTCGCCGCTTTGTCACAGACAGTGTGTCCACGGTGGGATTCACTCTGACCATTCAGTGCTGGGACTCTGTGAGGGGCTTGGCCAGGCCCAGGGTCGCTGCTGACAAGGAGAGGAGGAGGAGGAGGAGGAGGAGGAGGAGGGGGACACTGAATGTGAAAGCCAGTGTGATTGATTTCAAATAGAGGAGAAGGGGGGAGGGAGCCTCCTTTGTCTTGGTGTAACCCTTCACCCAGCCCAATCTGTTGGTGAGGGTTCCTCAGGTCTGCAGCCCTCGCTGGACAATGAAGGCTTTGCAGGCTTAATGGGTGCGACCACAGACCAGAGGGAGTTTTTTGGGGGGGTGGGGGTGGAGTTGGTGGTGGTTGGGATAGCTTGGGCTTGTGTGCAAATGAAGAGGCTCTTATTATGGTAATGTCTCCTCCTCTCCCTCACAAACGCCCCCTATCTTTATCCACGGCCTGCATCTTTTTTAAATTACAAATCTTAATTCTCATCTGTCTCCTCGCCACTGCCGCCACAACCAGCTGCAAAAATGTTGCCCCGTGGTGTAAAATACTAAGCTGGCCGTCCCCGACCTCCGGAGTCTGACCACTGTAGAAACAGCTGAGTTTAGCTTCATTTAAAGGACCACATAACAATGACATGGCTGTCGTAACACTCGCTGGTCACATGTTATTACTTCCAGAGTCACATGTAACACTCCAGCATTACTCTCGTCCTTGTTTGAAACGGTGTCAAAAAGTCAAAATGTCAAACAGTGCGGGTTTCATCCCACAGCGATCTCCGATCATCACACTGGCGTGAACCGTTCTGTCATAGAAGGATTACCGTAATCTATGCTGCTCATTTGTCTACATTTTATGCTGCCAATCTCATTGTGACAGCTGGTGTCTCTGATGACGGAGATCTCGTTGTGGAATGAAACTCCAACCATTCCCACAAAGTGTCCGGTTCCTTTGGCATCTTTACATTCCAGTTATTCCAGACTCAAGATGTAAATCACAATCACAATGTTCTTAAACTTTTTCCTCAAGAGAATTATTTTAGAAAATATCTAATTTATTTGTTTATTGTTGTTGTTTTTATATGAAATAAAGTATAATTTAAAATAACGCCGCCTCATGTACTGACATTTGTCTCACACTCCATCAACGTGTCGTCTTCATGAAGAGATCCTGCCTCAGCGCAAAACAGAAAAAAAAAAATCAAAAGTGTAAACTCTCTTTATACTGCTTACCTAAAATGTCAAAATATAATTTCAAATACAATGCAACATGAACAGAGAACTAATGAGGAACTGAGACAGGGCAACTGAGAGCCAGGATTGGCTCCTTGCTGATGTGACAACCGTGCTGAAACAGTTATGTCAGAACTAGAGCTTCACGTCTACAGGCAGTCACTCATCAGGAACAACGATTTGGTCTCCACACGAGTCTACACGACAAGGTCATCGGTTATTTCACATACGTTCTTGTAGAATTCACACACACACACACACACACACACACATAAAGAGACAAAGGCCATTATTAGTTCAAGCAAGAAGGGACAACACCGAGAGCTGTTGAGTGATCCTGATTTATTGTCCATGGTGATAAGACACAAATGTAGACACAGAGACCACACACACCACTGATGCAGAAAACACACACACACACACACACTACTAGATGTGACACACACAGGAACATACACATCAAAAGCCAAGGCTGGCTGGGATCATGGCTGCCCTCTCCTCCCCGCTCTTGACCCTTAACCTCCATCTCCTCATTCTTCCTGTCTCGCCGTCTTTGTCTTTAATCTGTCTCACATTTGTCCACGCCCCCTCCCTTTGCTGTCTGATTTTCTCGAGGCTTTCTTTCTAACTTTACGTCCTGGAAACGGCTTCATTAAAACACATCAACATAATATGTTGGAAATAAATAACTTTGACAGGACAGAACATGATCAGGACGACAAATGGAAGTAACTAAAATATTTGAACACTGGAGACTGTCTTAAAAACAAAAATCAACATGAGAAATACTGTAACATTCTCAGAGTTATTGTACGCTAAAAAATCTCCAGGATTTAATGAAATCAAAAATACAAATCTACATTAAAAAAAAATCTACATGATTAGGAATTTGTGAATTCATGAAATGGAACACTACACCGCGTCTCTTCAGAACTGTGTTTCTGCTGCAGTTCTATTCAGTATGAAACAAAAGCAACTTCCAATCACTGAGCACGTTTCACGTGAGTTCAAACCACAAAGATACACAAGGACGATTTTTCTGCTCCCGCTCTCCGACTACACTCACCGCTGGATTAACACCCTGGATGTGTTGTGGTTTATTTTGACAAATGTTCTGCTCTGTGCTGGGCAGTTTATCTGCTGACTTGTTTCCTTCTCTGGAGCTCTGATTAGTCAGCCAGCATCCGGCCGCTGATACAGGACGACTAATCCACATCCAGTCAAAATGAAATGTTGACGCTGCTGCTGGGAAACTCCCACAGTTGAATTTTCACCAACTCTTCAAATACAGACCTGGAACCTGCACAGCTGCGATACCTACGACCTCTGACAGCCAGCACAACCTGCCTCATCGCCACAAAACTGCTGTGTTCTACAGCCAGGATGAAATAATCAGGTGGAAGTTCAAAACAATAAAGCTCCAAAAATCAATTAGTTCAAAGATATTTTCATATCTGTCTCCATCAATTGGTTCAAAGATATTTTCATATCTGTCTCCGTTCCCTCTTCAGTTAATCATGAGACGGTTACTGTCATGTTGTTGAACACAGAAAAAAACCCTGGCCTGGATTTCTTGCAGTTTTCATCACGTAGCCTAATTTAGCATCTGAAGGATCACATTTGTTGTGAAAGCACCGAGACTAAACACTGAGATCCTTAACAATGAAAGAAAAACTTCTCTCAGAGGCAAAATAAACCGTCCTGCTGACACCGTCGTTCTTAGGTTACTCATCTCATCATCCTTTTAACGTCACAAAAATTCCAAGGGCCAACACTGTAGACTTGAGCTGAGCTGAGTAAACAGTGAAGCCTCACTGTGCCAGGAGTGGAGTCAGGCCGACTTCAGACAGCACATCCACTTCTCAAAAACACCCAGGTAGATGTGGATGGATCAGAAATGTTTACTCACACATGTCAGTAGTTAACGTCAAAGCCAAATGTTTGACAGGTATTTTCATACAGCGCCACTCAGAGGTCACCACGTCGACTAAAGATCTGGTGGCTGATGCTGTGTTGTTCTTCAGAAACCGACATTATTTTGCCACAAGGTTCAGTGTTGGTCAGTGGTCTGATTTGTCATGCAGATTAGGGGTTAGGTTAATTATTGACTCTAACTTGACTGTAGGTATGACTGTGAGATCACAGCAGCCATCCTCACCCAGTGGCTCCAGCTTTTGGATATACAAGAAATGGAATAATACAAAGACATTCAACAAGGAAACAAAATCCACACACTTTTGTGTTGTTAACTCCAGTCTTTGCTCTCTGAGTTGGTCCAGGAATGTAAACAAGTGTTTGGATTTGAAAAAAGAAAAAAAAGAAAAAACCTAAATTGGAGGTCAGCTGAACAGATAAAGGTCAACTCTTTTGTTTATCACTGTTTAAAGTTTAACTGCTCTGCTACAACACACTGAACCCTGGACCACACACTGTCTCACTGCGTTTGTATGTGTGTGTGTGTCAGTGTGTGTATTGATGTCCGGAAGTATTTGTGATTTTGTCTACACACACTGCGTCTGATAAGGCCAGGAAGAGCGTGTGGACACAGGATGTTGAGTTAACACTGAGACAACATGAGTGGAGCTTATCACACACACAGGGGCAGTCGTTACACGACAGGCCACGTGGAGCCTCACACACACACACACACACACACACAGAGAGAGAGATGATATATAAATAGGACTTTTTGACAAGTGTGAACCTACTGTAAAAACTATGATTTACACTTTAGTGTTTAAACAGTGTTTAAAGTTCCCCGTCAGACACAGCATGTGTTTCTGTTCACATTGAAACCAATCAAATTGGCCAAACCGATCATGGAGAGTCAACGTCCAAGTTGACTTTCTCCGTTTCCTCTTTCCTTTTCCCAGGTTATTTCAGGAGGCTGCACACTGAAACGTCTAACTCTGGTTCCGTTTTAAACGTCTACTGCAATCATTCGACACAAAAACAACATTTTCATCAGAATTTGTACAAAACCAGGCCCAAAATATTAAAGTTTACTGTTCTGTTGCCCGTCTGCTGCAGCTTCATCCATCATTATAAAATTAATCTCTTCATCCTTACGTATATAAAAGGATTGACCACAATGCTTGGTAATTTGGAATTACTAATAAATAAACAAAAATAACGAATAAAACTTCAATGTAAATATTGTGCAAATATTTAACTTTAAAAAAGATTAGGGCAGACGGATGGATACATTCAGAAGAATAATCGTTTACTGTTACCCAGTGTCAGCGATCATCTATTTTTTCTGCTCCCATTAACAAATTAATAATTAACATTAATTATCAGCATGGGAGTCATATATTTATGTTTCTATGTCTTTGAATTGCCTCGGGTATTGGGCATTACTGATAAAAACGTCACACTACGTGTTTTTTCAGGATCAATAAAAATGAATTATGTTCCCAACAAAATACATTTTCCCCTGGACATTAGTCAGTCTGTGACAGAGCGGATCAGGTGTCATCAGAACAGAGACGGCTGTCTGCTGCCTTCAGGTACACACAACAACAACAGGGACTTTAATGTTATACCTTAGAGAGGAAACTGAACTGTTAATTAGCACAAAGTGTCACTCATTATTTGTTTAGTAGATAATATTCCTTCCAAATGCAGCCGAAAACAGAGAGGTTGTGTTCAAGACGTGGCCCAAATCTCTTCCCGTCAAACGTCGCTGCTCCGTCTTAATATAGACACAGTGTAAACACAGAGTGAAGCACATGAAAAGTCCTTATTGTGATATGGTCTGAGGTTTTTGAGGCCCCAGCATCCTGAGCTGCAGATGCAGACAGAAGGGCGGGGGCCTCCCCTCCGCCCGTCTCCTCGGCTGCTGCCGACTGGTCCTCGTTATTTATTGCTCCGCAATTTCTGTAGACTAATTGATTTGGCTCAGCTTTCAGGCAGCAGGGAGACAGGAAGTCAGGCAAGCAAGAGGTTAAGAGTGCGAAGAAAGTGTGTGTGTGTGTGTGTGATGAATGTGTGCGAATATAAGGAGAGGACATCAGGCTGATATATATTTATAAAAAGGTTAGGTAAAAGAAGTCAGAGTCTCTGATCAAGTTCTCCGACAGATTACATTCACATTCAAGTGACAAATGTTTCCGTTCTCGTTACATTCACCTTCATCATGTAAACACATTCACTGATACAGTATTACTACAGTATCTGGTATCAGTCCTACCTAAACATGATTAAAGGGAGTGTAGGAAAGTTTCTCTTATCAGTGATCAGTCAATGTTAGCATTAACATTAGCACTGTTGAACCAAGCCTTAACATTTTAAATGTTTTTGAGCTCATCATAAACAAACAGTACACGTGTTTCTACGGCAGGAACCAGACACAGGAAAGAAAGACTAGGAAAAAAAGTAGGAGTCTGAATAGAAGAATGCATTTTCTGCATATTTTTCCAGGTTTCAGACGTTGCCTCTAAAGGTGCTTTTTTAAAAAAATATGTTATTGTTAATGTTATTTTTATAGGTTTCAGTTACTGTTGAGCTATTTTTTGGTAAATATTTCCTCCTATCACTTCACCCAGATCACTTCTCAGCAAACATCACAGCTTTTTGATTATCCACAAACTCAGATCGTCCTGTTGGCTCGTCTTCCACACAGAAGGTTCGACTGTGTGTTTGTTTGAAAACTCAGCAGCAGTGAAATACTACGGGTAGAACCGAACAATTACGTGTGATTGTGATGCCGGGGTCGTGTTCAACGCACAGCACACAATTGCGGCGTCTCTTGCTTTCTCTTCTTTCATTTCCTGTCTCTATCTCTGCTATTACTGTCAAATAAAGGTCAAACTTCATCAAATATGAATCAATTATAATGTCATTTATTGTTATGTAAAAA